ATTTAGAGCCATAATCTGCATAATAATTTTTTTTTGTTTGAATGTGCGGAAAACATAACTGATTCACGGCGTATGCAAAAATATATGCGCCGTCTGATCTCTACCTTTGATTAGAGTTTCCATCATTTTTTTTAATTTGGGCCCATTGAAATGCGACTTTGATCTGATCAACGGTGGAGATCGAACGACGCGTGCATTTCTGCATACACCGTCCGTATGAAATAACTTTTCGATTCAAGGGGCATTTACATCATTCGATGTATATCACCAAATTCCAATGTATTTACATAAATATGACACCTAATTTTATTTTTTACATTTATACCTACAAAAATCCTTCATATGTATGTCATGAAAAACCATCACTATTACTTTTAAAAGTAAGATGCTGTTGTTTCATGCATAGATACGTAAGACGACATATATGCCAAAATTCAAATTTGGATGTTAGATATTAAATACATAAGAATTGAGTGGTATGTATGTAAATCTTTCTTAATTAAAACATGATTAAAGATATCATTTCTAATATATATATATATATATATATATATTTTAATATTAAGTAAAATCAAATATTCAAACTATGTCATCAACACTTTTTTTGCACTCAAGTCAAACTCCACACTCTTTTCCCACAATTTACACATTACAATGTAATAAATCCGAAACATACTAAAAATTTTTAGGTCCGAACATCTGCACATTCGGAAAGCCATTCATGGGTCGCCATGACAAATCAAATATATGATGACACAGTGTGCGGCATCCATGCCGAATAATTTCACGAAAAATACATGCAAATAACCCCTAAAGGATTGCCCATCTCAAAGCAGTCTCACCCCCAACTAAAATTAAGAAATTACAAACCACAAAGCACTCCTACCACCAACAAAAATATAAGAAATTACAAACCAATCTTACAAAACGTGACGGTTACGGCGACACATCTCACGGTCGCCACGTCCATACGCGGCTAATCGACATGGCCGGAGAACGCAGCACCAGACCCACATCCGCCGCGTATCCTATCCATTACCACCGAAAAGACAACCTTAACCCTCATTTCCGCAATTATTACGCTGACGTGTCAAAGACGAACGAAATTATACACGCAAGACATTATTACATTGCTAAGGCATACCACCAACAACATTGTAGATGGCTACCATCAACACAAATAATAATTCTTGTTGTCACCAATTATAAACATATCCATTAATGCACATCATCAACATTATTGTGAATGCCCATCTTGGTCAATATGACAAACGCTATTCATTGTAATAAAACATACATTTGTTATTTTCACCAATTTTTAAAGTCAAGCATCATAATAGATTGATAGATGCTTTCATTAACACATTTAATGCTCATCATCCCTAAAATCATTAACACATTCCATCATGACTAAGATTGATGCCAAATATTACCAACAATTTTGATGCTGATTGTTTCCACCAACTCTAACGCTTATTTTTGTCAGTAAGGCCAATTCATATCACCACCAATAAGGTAATGGTCAACACAATCAACAAAGCTTACACACCCCATCACTAATAAAATTGATGAAATATAATACATATCATTATTCTAACTTCTTAAAAGCTAGATGAATAAAGTAATTAATGTGAAAATGATATATAAATATATATATATATAAAGTTATGAAGGCGTGTTTTAAATTTATATTTTCGGATGATGAACAAAAAATGATTTCGCCCGAAAATAGGGGGCAATTGATACGCCACCAACAATTTTTATTAACCGGCACGAATCTCAGTGCAATTTTTTTGAATAAGAGACATTCAAACTTTGATTAAAAGTCATCCGGAGTTTCGATTTCAGCAAAATTATAGTCAAACTGATCAGCTCGATGAGACAGACCTAATCATATAAAATTTAGTCCAATCCGAGTCAAATCAGGCCTGGATCAAGTCATTAAACCACTATTGGAAGATTTTTGGAGGCATTTGAAAGGTCAAACGGATGTCAAATCTAGCAAGTTTATAATCGAATCGAGCGTCTCAAAAAGACGAATCCAACGAGCCCAAGATTGCTCAATTCCGACATCGTTAAGACACTCAAATGTCCATCAAACGTCATCTGATCAATGGAAGCTCTCTGGGCCGTCCGATCAAAATGATTCATATTCCTGCATTAATTGCACTCAAAACACTATAATTAGAGCCTCACCCCACACTTGAAGGGGGGAGGAGGCTTAAGAGAGAACTTAAGACTTTGAGAAGGAGCTCAAATCCAAGATCATCCTCGCCATCGTCGATCGCCGTTGACCACCACCGATCGTCGACAACGATCGTCGGCCAACCCCGGTCCCCGCTGAACC